TGGGGGATTTAGTTTAGGTAAGTGTGGTGTCTCTTTGCTTCCTAGTGTGATGTTCGGAGCTGTTTTCTGTCACACACATCCACCTTGATATTTTGCCTTACCTCAGGCCCTGAGGAATGGAGTTGGCTGCCTATGGACTGAGCCCTCTGCAACTATAAGCCCCCAAATAAATTCTTCTTCCTCTAAAATTGTTTTTATTGCACCTTTTGGTCACAGCAGCTAAAAAGCTGGCTAAAACATGCAGTGTTTTATTTTATAAAATAAAAAAATGCGCTGGGCATGGTGGTACACATCTGTAATCCCAGCTCCCTGAGAGGATTGCAAACCCAGCATAGTGAGATCCAGTCTCAAAATAAAAGTAAAAAGGACTGGAGATGTAGCTCATTGTTAGAGCAGCCCTGAATTCAATCTTCAGTACCTCCCCCTTAAAATAGGGCAGGGGAGAGAGGATATAAAATGTAGTGACATGACACACATTGTTATGTAAGATATTCTTTTTCTCCCTTAACTCTTAGATACCTTTCTGTGTAAGTAAATAAGAATGAGGTAAATGTATTTATTAACTGTATAACATTCCATCAAATGGGCAAACCATGTGCTAGTACAAGGTCCTCATTTCTCAATATCCTATGAAAATGCAGAAAAACACATATAGAGCAATAAATCACTTGAGTGTTTCTATAAAATAAATTCCTAGTGCTAAAATTGTTAGGTCAAAGGGTAATTTTAGATAGAAATAACTAAATGACCCCCTCAAAATAGAACCAATTTATACAGAGAGGGCATTTTCTATATTTTTATGGAGTAGAGAATATTGGTAGGGGATATTCTCCATATTTTTAAATCGTGCCAATAGATGAGAAAGGGAGAGAGAAAAATACCAACATTTTAGGATAAATTTCTTTAACAACTAAAGTTGAACAACTTCAGTCATCAGCCATTTATATTTCTTTTAAAAATTTTTGTTGGCTGGGGGGCTGGACTTATGGCTCAGTAGTAGAGCACTTGTGAGGCATTGGGTTTGATTCTCAGCACTGCATATAAATAAATAAAATAAAGGTCCATTGATAACTAAAAAATATCTTTAAAAAAGTTGTTGGCTGGACTGGGGATATAGCTGAGATGGCACTTACCCAGAATGCAAGAGACTGGAGGTTTGACCTCAGCATTAACAAAAAAAGGAAAACTGTCTGCTAATAACTCCTACAAATTTTCTTTCCAATTTGCTTTCTTGTTGACTTGCATACGAACTTAGTAAATTGCCTGCCTAAGATCTTCAAACATTTTTCCCAGTTTAACTTCTCTTAGGGTGTTGTTTTTCTAAACAGATATATTTAATGGTTTTAGTTTTTAAGAAACTATCTACAAAGTCTATAGTTATAAAAAATGTTTGTTTTTCCTTTCATGATATACCTTTAAGGTTTTCAGTCTATTCATAATAATCACAATGTTAAACAACTTCTTTTTGCATTTAACATATATCACAGACATTTATAGACCTACCAAAGTAGTTTTGAAAACAAGCAAACACAAAAATTCATGTATCTTCAATTGCTTGGTAACTATAAATGCAGGATATTTTAAAAATGGCAGAAATCAAAGTGGTAAAGTATAACTCAAACTTTAAGCACTTGTATTTCTAAGTAAGCAAAGGAAAATGAGGGCCAAGTACATATATCAACAAAATTAGTCCTAGAATTTAATATAAAACTAAGGTCATCTAAGAGAATTGTGATTGATGAACTAAAAAATATAAAACAGGTTAATTACATAAAATATAATCTGTCAGGTGTGGTGGGGCACACCTGTAATCCCAGTGGCTCCTGAGGATGAGGCAGAAAGATCACCAGTACAAAGCCAGCCTCAGCAACTCAGTGAGATCTTGAGCAACTCAGAGAGACCCTGTCTCAAAATAAAACATAAAAAGGGCTGGGGATGTGGCTCAGTGGTTAAGTGTTCTGGGTTCAATCCCTAGTATCAACGACTATAACAACAATAGTCTCCTGAGTAGCTGAGATTACAAGTGTGTACCATCATGTGCAGCTTTCTAATTCTTAGTTACAGCTCTTCCTGCATCTCAGTGGCTAGTCCCTAACCAACTAACACTAACACTCTATCACTCTATCAACCAACTCTATTTCTTTTCTTTATCCAGTTAAAATTTTAAAATCCTTCAAAATGTCATCACAATGCATCTCTTACACTGTCCAGCTAAACCCAAACTCTACATGTATCCAACCCTTCTCTATACCCACATCTAAACTGCTAAAATCTGTTGAGGAAATTTTATGGCCCACTATCAAATGTAACCTCGATGCCATGAAGAAAATCTTCTGTTTCCATAGATGCAGCTCTTTTAATTGGAGTTATCTAGCCTCCAACCTAAATCCCCAAATCTGAGGTTGTTAGTCCTTTCATGTACTAACAATAGCACTTGGTAGGCCAAACTACAATTGTTTATTTTGCTATAGTCTTATTATACTATAAAGTTCTAGAGTGCAGGAAATATATATATCTTCTTTCATTTTCATTCCTAGCCAAGTTCCCAGAATACAGAGTAGGCATGCAAATTTGTACTAGTTCACTTGCAGAATAAAAAGCAGCAAAACAAATTTTAAATAAAAATATAATAATGAGCCATAAAAAGGAATTAAGTTCTGAGATACACTATGAAATGTATGAACCCTTAAAATATGCTAAATGAAATAAGCCAGATACCAAAGGAAATAGATAATGGTTATGGCTGCATAGCATTGTAAATGTAATTAATGCTGCTGGATTGCATATTTAAAAATATTTTAAAAGATAAATTTTATGTTACAAATATTTTACTAAAATAAAACATCTATTTCAGTGAATGTTACTTTACAAGTTTACAACACAATAAAAACTCAAAAATCATAATTACATAATACATAAAAATCAAAGCTTCTTGGTTTTTTTTTTTTTTTTTAGAGAGAGAATTTTAATATTTATTTATTTAATTAGTTTTAGGCGGACACAACATCTTTGTTTTTATGTGGTGCTGAGGATTGAACCCGGGCCACACGCATGCCAGGCGAGCGCACTACCGCTTGAGCCACATCCCCAGCCCCTCAAAGCTTCTTTGGCTATCTGTATATCATGAAAATATCACAAAGCAGGTTTACTTCCAAAACATTAGAAGGAAGAGAGCTATAAATGTTTAAGTCCATTCCTTATCACTTTAGAGATGAGAAAATAAGAAAAACAACTTTTAAAATTTTTATTTGCTCCATATTCATACCAAATTAAGATAATTATACTAGCAGGAGTTTGGGAGTGTGAATGTGAGGAAGGAGGACTATATTAACTAATTCATGCTTACCAACATTTATAAGTAGTCCAATTTCAATAACAATATTGACCTCTATATTAAAAAGTAAGAGCACATTTAATGCTTACAAATGTATTCAAATAAATCAACATAAGGAAGTACGTTGGGAGAGATAGGGAATGAATGAACAAAGGGAACTGATTTATTACCTGGAGATACTTCCTCTTTCTGTCTGACAGTGTGATCTTTTGTGAACTTCACTCTCTGATGAGCTCTAATACATGTCTTGCACAGCCATTCAACACACTCTACACAAAACCCATTAGCTTCAGCATTGTCTTCACAGCTTGTACACACCTGATGATAAAGCAAGCACGTCACATAAATCTTTGAGAAAAATGAAAAGTTGCTCATCTACTAGTTAAACATAAATGATACACCAACCATACTAGACTCAGGGTATTTTTTCCTTTTTAAAAAGATCGTTCTTTTTTAGTTATACATGACAGTAGAATGTATTTTGACATGTCATACATATATAGAGTGTAACTTCCCATTCTTGTGGTTGTACATAATGTGGAGTTACAATGGTTGTGTATTCATATATGAACATAGGGAAGTTATGTCTTATTCGTCCTACTGTCTTTCCTGTTCCCAACAGTGTTTGCAAATTTAAATTGACATTATGTAATGAATTATATGCATACGATATGGAAACATTAAACATAGATAAGTATTGTTATATTTTCTCCTTAGTTTAATATACTAAATATTCCAGGCACTGTACTAGGTGTTGGAATAGAAGAATTAGGAAAAGTAAATACAGTCCCTGCCTACAGTCTCACAGGTTAGAATCTCATCCCCCCGCCCCCAAACACACACACCTATTAACTAAGTGCTCTTGTGCACAATATACTACTTATTTCTAAAATGAGGGTGGTAACTGAATTTACAGAGTATCTGTAAAGATTACAAGTATATCTGTGAAGCAAACATACATTGCTGGAATAATCACACTCATATATAACTATTTAAAATTGTCATAAAGAAAATATATGAGAAATTATAAGAGTATCTGATGGAGAAACTGTTCTCATTGAATTACATTTGGAAGTCTGGAGAAAACAACAGGAAGGAGTACCCAGAGAAAGCTTTTCCTAAAAGAACCTATTACATCAAGATATGAAAGTTGAAAAGTTTTCTAGGAAGACAAAAGAACATGAACAAAAGACTGTAGACAAGAGGAATATAGCAAATTCAAAGAACTACAAGAAAGCAAGTATGACTCAAGTACAGAGATCAAGGGATAACTGGCAAGAGGAGGAGCTAGTGGTGAGGCAGGAAAGGGCCAGATTAAGCAGGTCACATGATAATGTTGGTCTTTGGAGAAGTCTATTGAAAGCTTTTAAGTAAGAAAGTGGAATGGCCATATCTTACATTTTAAAGTCAATATTGCTGTGAGGTGGAGAACAGATTAGAAAAGGAGCATTTCTGCATAAAGATAAACTAGGAGGTTTTGCAGTGATGTAGGCAAGGGGTGGCAGAAAGAAATGGAGATGAGAAGAGAATGGGTGTGAGGGAGAGTTAGAAAGTAAAACTGGTTTGGATGATGCATTGGGTATGTGAGGTAAAGAAGAGATAGCATTTGTGTTTCTAACTTGTGTAACTGTACCAATCAATAGGTAGGGTACAGATATTAAGGTCAAAAAACATATAAGCAGTTCTCATTATCTTATTTGTGGTTAGGAAGAAAAAAATATTTTTTCTTCACTCAGAGGTTACCAAATTCCAAATACCTGAATAATTTCCAAATAGCAAAATCTCAGCTCTTATCACTTTTAAAATGTCTAGCACCACAAATGCCTACTTACTAAAAATCAAGTGATTTTAAATGATTTTGGATTCCTTAATATCTGCCAATCCTCTTTTTTCCCTGAATGTCCCGCTAGATCCCATCTACTACTATTTTCCCTCTGATTCTGTACATAAGTCTTTAATCTGCAGACTGATCACATCTACTTTCCTTCAACTACCACCTCCACAAAGATGTCACCTAAAATATAATCTCCAGAAAGGCTACAAAATTATGGTGGAATGTGTAAATACGCTGATCAGAAGAAATTTCTTATACATTATGCAAATATTTTTAAAAGCAGGAAAAGTATGTAAATACTTATATTTAAGAAAAAAGCAATGAAGTGGATTTTTCTATTTAACAAGTACAGGCTAGGCACAGTGGCACACACCTGTAATCCCAGGGGCTTGGGAAGCTTGAGGCAGGAGGATTGAGAGTTCAAAGTCAGCCTCAGCAAAATTGAGGCACTAAGCAACTCAGTGAGACCCTGTCTCTAAATAAAATACATAATAGGACCAGGGATGTGGCTCAGTGGTCAAGTGCCCTTAAATTCAATCCCCAGTCAACACCCCCCCCAGTAATATATCATATGGTATTAAAAACAAAAGGATATCAACATCTGCCTCTGCAGGGCCCAGGCGCACCAGTGGCCTAGGTCCACCCATTTCCCTGTGGGGCAGACACTCGCTGGAGCCTAGCCTCTGGTGCAGAACTGCCCTTTCTGACCAATGGACTAAAGGAAACAATAAGCCAATTAAAAAACTCATCAGGTAGCATCAACAACAGACTAGATCACTTGGAAGACAGGACCTCAGACAATGAAGTCAAAATATACAATCTTGAAAATAAAGTTGACTCCACAGTGAAGATGGTAAGAAACAGAATATTCAAGAATTATGTGATACCATCAAAAGACCAAATTAAGATTTATTAAGATAGAGAAAGGTTCAGAGATTCAAACCAAAGGAATGCACAATCTCTTCAATGAAATAATATCAGAAAATTTCCCAAGCATGAAGAATGAATTGGAAAATTAAATACCAGAGGCTTATAGGATCCAAATATACAAAATTACAGCAGATCTATACCAAGACACATTATAATGAAAATGTCTAGCCTACAGAATAATGATAGAATTTTAAAGGCCACAAGAGAGAAAAATCAGATTACCTATAAGGGAAGATCAATTTGGATCTCAGCAGATTTTTCAACCCAGACTCTCAAAGCAAGGAGATGCTAAAACAATATATACCAAGCTCTAAGAGATAATAGATGCCAACCAAGAATGTTATGTCCACCAAAATTAAGCTTCAACTTTGTTGGTGAAACAAAAAACCCTTCCATGAATAAACAAAAGTTAAAAGAATTTATAGCAAGAAATCCTGCACTACAGAACATTCTTGGCAAAATATTCCACAAGGAAGAAATGAAAAACAACAATGAAAATGTGCCTCTTCTATAGGAGGCCTACACACCACTGCTGGTGCCACAGCCAGGTCTCTGCTGATCCCTGAGACCTTCCAGCACATTTTGTGAGTATTCAACACTAACATCAATGGTAGACTTCTTTCTGCGAAATAAGACTGTGGGATGGGGTAAGGATGTAGCTCAGCGGTAGAGCACTTGCCTAGCATGTGGAAGCCCAGTTCCACAAAACAAATAAACAAACAATAAGTAATAAAATCATGTTGTCTTTGAGCCAGGCCTGGTGGCTCACACCTGCAATCCCAGTTACTCAGGAGGTAGAGGCAGGAGAATTACAAGTTCAAGACCAGCCTCAACAACTTAGCAAAACTCTGTCTCAAAATAAAAATTTTTAAAACGTTGGGATATGTCATACTAGACAAAGGCACCAAATACATATGTTGGAGAAAAGATAGCTTCTTCAACAAATGGGGCTGGGAAAACTGGAAATCCATATGTAGCAAAATGAAATTAGACCCCTATTTCTCACCATGCACAAAACTCAACCCTAAGTGGCTCAAATACTTAGGCACTAGAACAGAGACCTTGCCCCTAATAGAAGAAAAAGTAGGCCCAAATCTTCATCATGTTGGCTTAGGAACTGACATCCTTAGCAAGACCCCTAAAGCACAAGAAGTAAAATCAAGAATCAATAAATGGAATGGAATCGAACTAAAAAGCTTCTTTACAGCAAAAGAAACAATCGATAATGTGAAGAGAGAGAGCGAGCCAACAGAATGGGAGAAAATCTTTACCACATGTGCCTCATATAGAGCATTAATCTCGATGATATACAAAGAACTCTAAAAACTTAACACCAATAAATAAATAACCCAATCAATAAATGGGCTAAGGATCTGAACATCTGAGTAGACACTTCACAGAAGAAGAAATACAACTGATCAACAAATACATGAAAAAAATGTTCAACATCTCTAGCAATTAGAGAAATGAAAATCAAAGCTATACCGAGATTCTATCTCACTCTAGTCAGAATGGCAATTATCAAGAATACAAGAACAATAAATGTTGGTAAGGCGTGAAGACATGAATGGCATGACTACTTTGATTACAACCAGAGATATAAAAAATTGTGCTCTATATGTGTAATATGAATTGTAATGCATTCTGTTGTTATATATAACAAATTAAATTTAAATAAATAAATAAACAGGTAAATGTTGGTGAGGATGTGGAGGAAATAGTACACTCATATATTACTGGTGGGACTACAAATTGGTGCAACCACTCTGGGAAGCAGTATGGAGATTTCTCAGAAAACTTGGAATGGAACTACCATTTGACTCAGCAATCCCACTTCTCAGTTTATACTCAAAGGACTGAAAATCAGCACACTATAGTGATGCAGCCACATCAATATTTTTAACAGATCAACTCACAATAGCTAAACTATGGAACCAACCTAGGTGTCCTGGAACAGATGAATGGGTGAAGAAAATGTGGTATATTTACACAATGGAATATTACCCAGCCTTAAAGAAGAATGAAGTTATGGCATTTGCTGTTAAATGAATGGATCTGGAGAATATTATGCTAAGCAAAATAAGCCATCCAAAGAACCAAGGGCTGAGTGTTTTCTCTAACATGTGGATGCTAATTCACAATGGGGGTGGGGTGCTAAGGAAGAATGGAGGTACTTTGGATTAGACAGAGAGGAGTGAAAGGAGGGGAGATGGTATGGGGGTGGGGAGAACAGTGGAATAAATCAGACATTATTACCCTATATGCATATATGACTGCATAACCAATATAATTCTACATCATGTACAACCAGAAGAATGAGCAGTTATACTCCATTTATGTATGGTATGTCAAAACGCACTCTACTGTCACGTATAACTAATTAGAACAAGTTTAAAAAAAAAAGACATAATGTGAGGCAAAGATATGCTCATGTAGTGCTAAGGAAACAGATGCTGACTTCACCAAGAGGGTTGGAGAACTCGTTGGGTGGATTGTATGATCACCATTATGCAGAATCTAGACCAGCAGAAGATCCTAGGCTAGTCCTTCATCAGACAGAAGGATTTAGAGGATGGAATGGCCAATGGACTGGATGGCAAATTCCATGAAGATCTGGAGCAACTGAAGAAGATTAGTGCCCAGAGTGAGCTGGGCCACCTCTTGGGCCTTTGTGTCTGAGGCCAGCACACGAACAACACTGGCCGACAATGGTGTACTGTGGGTATGCCTGAGACTCAATGATTCTGTAGGGCCTTTCTGTTAAGCAGAGGCTTACACACCTAAAATAAATAAGATAAAATAGCAAAGACCCCAAAACAATATAGATACAGATATATAGGTTATCAAATAGAATAAATCATACTTATGCTCATTGTTATCATCTATTTTATTTCATCTTAGTGAAGCCAGATTTAAAGTTAGGTAGTCAGTATAGTTAGATCGGGTCCAATATCCAGTGAAATCTAAAATGGAGGCCATGCTGAGAATGATTCAGGGAAATGCAGGACAACTCATGGAATGTTAATGAAGTCCAGGAAAAAGCCCAAGGTCAGATCCCATCCCAAAGAAGTGTTAATGAACAGCCCCCAGCAAACTTGAAGGTGCTGACTCAGAAGTCCTTCCTGATCAGACTACTTCTTTGGCCCACCTGTGTCCTACCCCTCGGGCTTTCCCACCTACATTCCATCACTGAAAGAACTATAAAAAGGGAAGACAGCAGCCCTTCCAAGGATTCCACCTCTTGGGTCCCCTTCTTCCTCTGGGAGAAATCTTTCCTGCTGTCCTTTAATAAACTTCTAATTTCTACTCTGCCCTTGCCTCAGCGTGCTTCTTTGGTGTTATTCTTCAACATTGGGGAAGCAAGGACTCGTCACCTGTCAACAGCGGTAACATTAGCACTGTTGCAACAAGTATTTTTCTTTTGGTGAATTATAGCTGTATATAATGGTGGAATCATTGTTACATATTAATACATGCACACAATGAACAATATCATTTAGCCAATATCATTTCCTGTGTTTCCTCTTTCTCTTTCCCCCTGATTTCTTTCCTAAACTGATCTCCCTTTTATTTTCATGAGCCATAAGTATTTAAAACACACACAAACACACACACACACACCCAATCAATAAATGGGCCAAGGGCCTGAACAGACACTTCTCAGAAGAGGATACAATCAATCAACAAGTATATGAAAAAATGTTCATCATCACTAGCAATTAGAGAAATGCAAATCAAAACCACTCTAAGATTTCATCTCACTCCAGTCAGAATGGCAGTTATTATGCATACAAACAAGAATAAGTGTTGGCAAGGAGTGGGGAAAAAGGTATACTCATACACTGCTGGTGGGACTGCAAACTGGTACAGCCAATATGGAAAGTAGAATGGACATTTCTTGGAGAATTGGGAATAGAACCACCATTTTACCCAGCTGTCCCCTTCCTCAGTCTATTCTCAAAGGACTTAAAATCAGCATACTACAGGGACACAGCCACACCAATGTTTATAGCAACATAATTCAGAATAGCTAAACTGTGGAACCAACCTATATGCCCTTCAATAGGTGAATGGATTAAAAAAATATGGTATATATAAACAATGATATATTACTTGGCAATAAAAGAGAATAAAATCATTTTCAGGTAAATGGATGAAGTTAGAGAAGATAATGCTAAGTGACGTTAGCTAATCCCCAAAAAACAAATACGGAATGTTTTATTTGATATAAGGAGGCTGATTCATAGTGGGATAGGGAGAGGGAGCACAGGAAGAATAGATGAAATCTAGTATAGGGCAGAGGGGTTGGAGAGGAAAGGAGGGGGCATGGGGTTATTAATGATGGTGGAATGTGATGATCATAATTAGCCAAAGTACATGTATGAAGACACAAATTGGCGTGAATATACTATGTATACAACCAGAGATATGAAAAATTGTGCTCTATATGTGTAAAAAGAATTGTAATGCATTCCATTGTCATATAAAAAAACAGAAGGATAACTATAAAAGTAGTAATTGGTTACCTATAAGGTAGGGAAGAAATATGGTAGATATGATAGAGATAGAAGCTCTGTGAAAATATCCTGTTTTTTTTTTTTAAGATTTTATTTTGGAAGTATATAAATATTTTAAATGTAGTTATAATAATACAAATTTTAAAACTTAAATCCCTAAACATCAAAACCAAATAAAGCAGCAACCATAGCTGTCTATCAAGTGGATGACTTATCACCACAGGAAAAAAAATTTATTTTTTGTAAAATGTAACTTTAAAACATGATGATTTGAGCCAGGAGCACTGGTACATAACTGTAATGCCAGCAACTCGGGAAACTAAGGCAGGAGAAGCTTAAGTTCAAGGCTAACCTCAGCAACTTAGTAAGCCCCTGTTTCAAAATAATAAGTAAAAAATGTCTGGGATGTAGTTCAGTGGAAAACTGCCCCTGAGTTATATCCCAGTACAAAAAAAAAAAAAAAGAGAGAAAGAGAGAGAGAGATTTGATTGTACACCTTCCAGTTAATACATGTAACCATGGCTCTTGCTTTCTGTTTTGCTACACTCTACAATTTCCTTTAGGCTCCAACTTTACTCTTCCATGTACTCTTATTCTGCTATGTTTATGTGTTGCAGTTGGTTTCACTTTAGACTCTAACAATTGGTGGTCTGCAAGGAAGTTGCAATGTCAGAAGAGGAGACTTGAGGCTTGCAGTTAGCTCTCTGCTTGTGAATTCTGTGGAACATCACTCCAGACAATGCTACTTTCCCCCAGGAGTACCAGTTCCTTCTTACAGAAATAGTCAGCTCTAGTTGAAAGTTTAACCAATACTTCTAGAACCAGTTTTCTTGCAACCTACTTCAGAGACACCAGCACCAAGGGTTTAGAGATCTGAGTTCCAAGCTGAAGACTCAGACCCAGCACCAGCCATGGTGACATTCCACAAAATCCTTCCTCTTTAAATAATGCCATCTTTTGCTTTTGTTTCCTCAGCTGCTTCCCAAAAGTTACTCCTTTGGTGAATACTTAAAGAACTTTCTTTTGATCTTTACAGAAATTTTATAGCTAGTTAACAATTCATTTTAAGAATTAAAATAGTGCCTTGTTGCACCAATACAAATATAATATACTCGTATAATGTATAGTGGATATTTATTTTTCCTGGAGAAAATAATTATGGCCAATTTAATAAAGAACCAATGTTTCCAGAATAGAAGAGATACACATATAAAATTAAAAAGTACAACCCTATTAATTCTAAATTTGACTTAGAAATAGATAAATACTTACATTGTCTTTCTTTCTAATAAAAAGATTTGTTAGATTATTACCACGAAAGGCCTTGAAAAAATGACTAACCCAATGGTGATGAGCACCCATAGGACCCATATTATGGTCTTCAAATCCAATGCCATTTTTTCTTTTTTCCCTTTGGGTGATGGAGGTTGAACCCAGGAACCCAAGCATGCTAAGCACATACTGTGCCAATGAGCTATACCCCCAACCCATTTCCATTCTTGAAAGCTGATTCACAATAATTAGAAAGTGCCTGTGAAGAAAGTGCAATTTTGGGCTTTAATGAAAGTTCATATTAATGAATAACTATAAATACCTTTGAAACAACAAAACGACTTTTATTTTGTGGTGTTCAGGTTAGAACTCAAGGCCTTGCACATGCTAGGCAAAAGGTCTGTAACTGAGCTACATGCCTGGTACAAAAACAATTTTAATTAGTAATGGCTATGCTCATTTATAAAGTAACCTGTGCATTCCTGTACTTCCCTTGAGAAACAAAAAGCTAAAAATGAAAAAAAGAGCACAGAAAATAAGCATGTGCACTAAACAAATTTCTGATGAAACAACTAATAATCATGTTTCCCTAACCAAATTTAGTTCCTAACCAAATTTAGTTCCTCTCCAGATCTTCTGTTACAAATGAAAGGAACTGCCTAGAGGAATCACTGATGAATCATGTTCCACAAGTAGACAAATATGCCTATCTCAGTGTGGCTAACCCTAGTTACAGTACCAAGGATCTTCCTTAGGGACCTGACATCCACATTTAAGTGGCCAATAGAAATGTTCTATATAGGTTATGAAAGTAGGAAAGAAGATACCATTGTATCTCTAAATCCAATGCCTGGGACAATGCTACCAAATGAGGCTTTTAAAATAATACCATATAGAAAAAATAGCTTTCCTAAAAAAAGCAGACTCCTCACTAATCAAAGACAGGATGTATTTCATAGGTATCATTAGAACAGAAAAAAGTGAAAAAGGAGATTAAAATTAAAATCTAATTGTCAATATATATTTAAGTATAAAGAAATGAAATAATGTCAAATATAGAATAATGTTTTTCTCTGGAGAGGATGGGGAATACAGGGATGTAATCATGGGTGTCTGTGCTGGCACTCGTGTTTTTTAAATTGAACCATTCATTATTATTTATATACTTAAAAATACTATACACCTTCATAAATTAATGGTCTAAAATGTGGCTCCTTTCACTTGAGCCCTCCAGGATTTTAGGTGCCTCATCAATAGCTGGCACAAGCTCAAAACTCAAAATTATCCACTTACCTGATTAGACTTTTCTACTGTACTGCTGGGAACCTCAGTAGTATCCTTGACAAAAAAATTATCTATGATATGTCTCTCTGCACATTCTTGGCTGCACACTGGGCATCGAATGACTCCAACTGGGAAAGACAAAATTACATTTTAAGTTTTAATATAATATACTGAGTACTAAACAACACATCTACAATGTAACTGGGTTCTTCTACAATGTCCATTCATATAAAATTTATGCCTATTTAAGTTCATAAGCAATTCATTTTATGTATATATTTTTATTTACATATATCATACTCAAAATATTAAATGATGCTTAAATGTTCATAATTTTAAATGATATGCCCTCTCCTAAAATAGACACCCCCATTAGCTACTACATTTACTGTTTAGCAACTTCCCTGGCAGTGGTTTTAAACAGGAATGTACAGAACCACATAGATTTTTAAATGAACAAGGAATTGTGGTTCTCTTTAAACCTACAGAATCAAAATTTCTGGGAGTGGAGCACAAATATTTTGTGTTAAAATTTTGACAGGATAATATGAAACACTATTCTGTTTTCCTTTAACAAAAATGCAAATGGTTAAAAAAAATGCAAATGGCATTGCTTTAGGAGAAAACAATCCTCTTCCATAATGTGTAGTAAAACAATAAATAGTAAGTACATTAAAAATGTAATATGAGCTGAGAAGAGCTTGCAATACATTTTAAAATATAGCATATAAGAACCAACACAGAGGCCAGCGTTGTGGGTCCAATGATAGAGTGCTTGCCTAGCATGTAGGAGGTATTGGGTTCAATCCCTGGCACCACAAAAAAATAAACAAATAAAATAAAGGTATTGTGTCCATCTACAATTAAAAAATATTTAAAAAAGAACCAACACAAAGTAATTCAAAGGCGAATTTTATATCAAGTAGGAAACAAAAATTTTAATTAATAAAATTAGTTCGGGGCTAGGAATGCTGTGCAACAATAGAGTGCAGGCCTAGTCTATGTGAGGCCCTAGATTTGATCCTCAGCACCACTAATAAAAAATCAATCCACTTAATAATAGCAACACAAATATATTAATTAAGAATAGATTTTAAAAGATGTCTAAATATCACTGTGGAGAATGTTAAGTTATATTTGAAAGCATTTAAATGCCAGGCATGTTACCCTAGCTACATGGGAGGCTGAGGTAAGAGGATCACATGTTTAAAGTGAGCCTGGGTAACAACCAGACCTTCTTGAGGGCAACTGGGATGGGAATAACTGGATATGTAGCCCAGTGGTAAAGTTCCTCTGAATACAATGTCCAATCTAAAAATCTTTTTTTTTAAAAAGTCTAAATAGTGAAAAAAACATATTCACAATGGTAAAGATGCCAATTCTCCCTAAACATATCTATAGATTCAATGTTTTAGCAGCAATTCCAATAGAGATTTAACAGAACTTTGAGGGCTGGGGATGTGGCTCAAGCGGTAGCATGCTCGCCTGGCATGCGTGCGGCCGGGGTTCGATTCTCAGCACCACATACAAAGATGTTGTGTCCACCGAAAACTAAAAAATAAATATTAAAAAATTCTCTCTCTCTAAAAAAAAAAAAAGAACTTTGATCAGCTGAAATGACTACTAAATAATGAGACATACTACAAAGCTACAACAATTAAGATAGTGGGATATTTATGTAAAAATAAACAAAATAGAACTGAATACACAATACCAGATCAGACCAAGTGAGAGGTCCTTACTCTTTGGGAATGTGTGTATCCCTTCTTCCACATTCCCTGTTCCTTCCTGGCTGGTGAGGCCAAGTGGTTTTGCTCTGCCAGGTACTCCCACCATGATGTGCTGCCTCACCACAGCCCACCACAAGCAATGAGGTCAACCCATCAAAGGCTGAGCCCTCCAAAATTTTGAGCCCAAGTAAATCTTTTAAAAAATAAACTGTTTATCTCAGGTATTTTGTTATATTAACAGAAAGCTGACTAGCCCAAAATTCACAATGAAATGTAAATTATCTTTGTTATCTTGGGGTAGGAATAAGACTTGTTGACACGAGCATGACTGCAGCGAGGTCCCGTGATCGACCCCAGGTGGTCCTGGAGTCAGGATCGCCTCTGCTCCAGGTAACTGCTCCCAGCCAACGATCCGTGTCCTGAAGAAAGAAGTCGCTGCACACGATATGCCTTTTCGAATGCTCGGTTTATTCACACCAGGTTCCATCACATCACACGAGGCACAGGAACAGAGACTGGCGGGGCTCAGTTCGCTCGATGTTAACCCACTGGCATCGTGGATCTGAGCTGACCAAAGAGCTCAGCCTTCCTGGCCCTTAAATACTAGAGTTGTTTACAACACTTCAAACCAAAACATGTTTACGTCGTGGCTTCTATCTCTTATCCTATCCTCACAGATTATGTTTACACTGCATCACAACACGCTTATCCTAAACTACCACACTTGTTTGTGCTAAAATACATCAAAACATGTTTACCTTATGTCCTTATCTAACTCACACATATTTCTAACTTATGCACCCTTCTTCATCAAAACATGTTTACTTCAAATTCTCCTGTCACTTGTTAAGCAAAAAACAAAAAGGAAAAGCTTTAAAAGAAAGATTAATATAGTCAACTTTGTTATAGAACTATAGATAATCAAAATATTACTGTGTTCAAAGTAAAAAAGACAAACCCCAAACTGGGTTCCATTATGTCAGTGATCATTTAACATATAATACTGGCCAAGAATTAACATTAAAGTTGTAAAGATGTGACAATAGACTTCACTGAAGAGAGAGGGTAATCCTTATTTTCATTATTTCTCTAGCTATGTACAGCTAAACACTCCCACTGTCCTATATAAAAACAAACATATGAAAATTATGAACAGTCAGGCATGGTGGCATGTACCTGTAATCCTAACAACTCAGGAGGCTTAGACAGGAGTATCTCAAGTTTGAGGCCAGCCTCAGCAAATTAATGAGTCCCTAAGCAACTTAATGAGACATGGTTCAAAATAAAAAATAAAAGTGGGCTGGGGATGTGACTTAGTGGTAAAGCTCCCTGGGTTAAATCCCCAGTATCCACCTCAAAAAAAAAAAAAAATGCAAACAGTAGAGAGAAGGCAGCAGATTGGCAAAAGAACTCAGGACCCAAGGAACACATTGTGAGTTCACTTAATTTTCTTTTATCCTTATATACTCCAAAATGGGTTATCATGACATTGGCATTCCTGAAATACCAAAACGTACAAACTAAAAAAAAATACCAAAAAGCTACCCAAAGAGGACTGCATTGGTGCAACCACTCTGGAAAACAATATGAAGATTCCTCACAAAACTTGGAATGAAACCACCGTTTAACCCAGCTATCCCAATCCTCAGTTTATATCCAATGGACTTTAAATCAGCATATAACAGTGACACAGCCACATCAATGTTTATGGAAGCTCAATTTGCAATAGCCAAACTATGGAACCAACCTAGATACCCTTCAAATGATGAATGGATAAAGAAAATGTGGTGATATATACACAATGGAATATTACACAGCCTTAAAGAAGAATGAAATTATGGCATTTGCAGGTAAATGGATAGATCTGAAGAATATTATGCTAAGCAAAATAAGGAAATCCCCCCCAAAAAACAAAGGGTGAATTTTTTTTTTCAAATATGTGAGTGCTAATTCACAATGGGGAGTGTGTGACTAGGGAAAATAGAGATACTTTGCATAGGCAGAAGGAAGTGAAGAGAGGGGAGGGGTATGGGAATAGGAAGAATAGTAGAATGAATCGGAAATTGTTACCCTATGTATATATATAATCACACAAACAGTGTGATTCAATATCATGTACAAAAGAATGAGAAGTTATACTAATTTACATATGATGTGTCAAAATGCATTCTACTATCATGTATAACTAATTAGAATAAAAAATAGTATTAAAATGCAAAAAAATGCATATACTAAGTATATATCTATGTACAAATAAAAATACCTGTTTTAAAAACAAAAAACAAACAAAACAAAAACTACTCAAAGGAACAGGAAAGAGGCAGCCTTGCAAGATAGATTGAAAAAAAATATACACAATAATCACTCCAATACTCAATAAACAGTCAAATATCACACACACACACACACACACAAAAACCTGTGCCCCCTTTTTCCACCAGCAAAAGCCTATTGGGAAGCCTTGATTTCCACCCTGGCCAAACTGAAATCAGATGCCCCAATCACCCATAGTGTCAGAGAAGCCCCCTGGGCAGCTGGGCCTTTTTGATCAGCAAAGCCCCTTGTAACCACAATGGAGACTACCTGCAGTGCCTGAGTAATAATGAAGCTATTATTGTCTACCTCCAAGCTACATTGCAGGGATAGTGAACTGTAGTCAAGACTTCTATTGCCACCTATTATAACCTCCTCTGAACACCATGTCACCACTCCCTGGAAATTATTAATGGAGTACATACCAGGAGCACCCACATCCCTTCAAGGAAAGCCTAATGGGAGTGTGAACTCCCACACTCTCACACTAGCAAGAAGGTGGCCCTCCTCATCCGGATGTCAATGGTGGCAGAGCAGGGAATACAGACTTCAACTACTACCTTGCAGTAGATTGGAGATAATAAATACAAGGGAAGAAGTCAATGAAATTAAAAGAGAAAAAGTTAATGAAACAAAAAGCTGGTTATTTGAAAAGGTCAACAAATCTTAGGGCTGGGAATATAGTTCAGTGGCAGACCACTTGTCTTGCCTACAAAGGCCCTAGGTTTGATCCATATCATCACAAAAAAAAATAAAAAAATAAACCTCTGGCAAGACTGAAAAAAGTTGCTGGGTGTAGTGGCATAAGCCTGTAATCCTAGTGACTCAGAGAAGACTGAGACAGGAGAATCACAAGTATGTGGCCAGCCTGGGCAACTTAGCAAGACCCTGTCTCATAATAAATTAAAACAAAAAACAACCCAATAGACACAACTTGTCAGTAGGAATAATGATAAAAGGGATATCACTACAGACCACGGTAGATATCAAACGCATAACAGAGGAATACTATATAACATTTACATATAAAAAAGTCCAACAAGTTAAATGACATGAACCAATTCCTTGAAATGCACAAACTGTTA